CTGATTATGTGACTGCTGGTAGATGTAGTTGGATGAATTGTGTGTGAAATTAAAAGTGTACTTAGCTACAAACCTCTTGACTGAAAACTGAAAGTCTGCACATAAATCATATCTTGACAGTTTACTTTAAAATTAACTCTGATGGTGTAAAGAGGCAATACTACAAAATTGCCTTGTTGTCTAAAAACGCATGGACCCAACTTTATTTAAACAGTCTGTAAACACAACAAACACTAAAGTGAAAATAATGTCTCACCTGAGCTCCCATTTCCAGGAGCTGCTGAACAAATGGTTTTGAATAGTTTCCTGTTTTGTCGGCTGACCACACATCAACATAGGCAACAACATCTGCAGATACATTGAACAGAGTTGCACACTTAAACCCAAAGTCATAAACCTCATTTTGGATGTATTGCAATTAGGGCTGGGCCATATTATACCGTTCACGGTAATACCGGTATAATGTTAGGCAACGATAGGAAAATGAAATATCGCGATAGAATATGAGTAAAACGCGCATGCGCAGTGCCTTTGTTTTCATACGCACATGGCCGATTGTTGAGTGAAACAGATGAACCAGAATTGGTTTGTAAAAATGGTGCAACTTCAGTGATGTGGAACTGGTTTGGTGTTTGTCCGTCAGATACACGACAAAGCACATTTTTTTGCAGAACATGCAAGCGGCCGTCGTATGTCTATTTGTCGGACTAAGATGCTCTTAAATCTGGGAGTAATCTGGGTCCTAAACCCGTATTCAGGTCAAACGAACACTGCAGCATCACTGAGAGTTAAAAACTGTCTAAATTCTTTCATCTTTAATAAAACGATCAGCATTGCTGCTTTACCAGGTGTAACTATGAAGTTTAACTTCCAGGCATCCATGAAAACAAAATGTTATTACATTTAACGGAGTTAGAAGTTAGCAGGAAGCTAGCGGAAGTTAGCTCGCTAGTTTCGCTAGTTACCTAAGCATGATATAGCATGTTCTGACTGAGAGATTTCTGAAAAAAATCAAACGTACAGCTCTGCTATCACTTCCAACATAAATGAAGACAGGAAACTAAACAGCAGTGACGTTTGTAGGGTTACTGAAGTTGGGCTAGCTGGTATATAATGATGTGCTACGTGATCGCTAGCGACACAGCTATGTTAGCATAACATAAACAGTGAAGCTGGAGGACGAACACTAACACTTTTCCACTTATAAAAGTTAACGTGAAGGTTCCTCATGGTTAGAGACAAATGCAATCGCATGGCAGGATGCTGTAAACGGACCAAACTTCAGTCAGGAGAACAACTGAGATAATCCATCCACAATACGAGGTTAGTCATTAATATACTGCAACAACATGGGAATAGAGCAGCTGCCAGAGAATTCAACATTAATGAATCAATGGTACAGAAGTGGAGGAAGCAAGAAGAATGAGTTTAATAAAGTTTGATTTATCTGACTGCTTTGTTTCGCTTAATGTGCCTTATAATCCTCGTGCACCTTATGGTCCGAAAAATACGTACTGCACACTGCAGTTTAATGTTGCAAAGCACCTCTTTTTAACTTCAGTGGATATTATACATGGTTATGCTCAGGATATGTCAGCCCATTTCTACTGGAAATGCCTTTTGGTTAAACTTTCAGCAAGGAATTTGCATTTGCACTGTTACATTTTTATAAAGCTTTAATGTACATAAAAACCAGCTTCTTGTTTAAGTGAAAATAAATGGAAGGTTGTCTTTTTGCGCTAGTAATGTTGTGGAGTTGTATTTTGTCGCGCATCAATTATATCGTTATCGCAAATTTTCAAATATATATCGTGATAAATATTTTTGGCCATATCGCCCTGCTCTAATTGCAATAACACCAAGATGTGCAATACCTTTAAGAACTGAAGAGTTGGTCGTTGTGGTCATTACTGGCCTCTTTACCTCCAAAACACAGATACTAGAAAATTTTAAAAAAAGACATACTGTGAGCTTGTGACCTAGCAGACCGCATGAATTTTACTCTGTCACACTTTTAAGAACAAGAAAACTGGCTGATTTATATTATTTACAATACCGAGTCACTTGACTAACTTATTGGCCTCAAAAAAAACCCAAAAACAGCATTTTTTGAAATTAAAGTTTAGCTTCATCAATCCAAAGAAATTCTTACTGTGACACAAGGAAACAAGGAAATTGTCCATCCTGGTCCATACTACATCAGAAATGTATCAATGACAGACATCATTCAAGTGTGTCAAGTGTTGAAATCAAAGCCACAAATCAGGAATACGTTAATGTAACTGATTATTTAACTATATAAATAGCATCAATAGTACTGCGGCAGTCTGAGCAGCATAAGTAAGGGATGGTTCAGGGTTACCTGATCCAGTCATAGCTATAAGCTTAATTAAAAAGGATGGGTTTTTTTTAGCCCAACCTTAAAAGTACAATGGTGTACTGCAACAGGATGTTTCTCATTTTAGAGACACTGCCCAGATAAAAGGAACCAGTCCAACACATTTGTTTTATGAGCACACCAAATCAAAAATGACTCCTAGGTTCCTCACAATGTCTCTGGAGGCCAACATATCTGGTTAGACACCATGTTTATCAGATTTTTTACGGTCAAAAATAACAATCTCAGTTTTGTCTGAAGTTGGGGTATCAGATCCTGACAACTTTGTTCTGAACTGAGAATAACAAGCGAGCTGCGTAGTAATGTTGTGTCAAATCAATTATTCAATTACCCCAAGCACTTCTTGATAAATTACTCAAGGCACAGACGCTTGCTGGGGGTACATGCTTAAACTTGTAGCGAATACCACAGCACTGCAAATTATGAATATACTCTCTATGCGAGGTACATACAAAATATATGACGACTTCTGACCTTTGTACTAACTCGTACTTTAAATCAAATTATTAAAACGCTCAATTTTACTGTTAGCTAACTAAACCACCTATTAGTGAAATTGACTCAAGGCAGGTTATCAAACATATGGATATAACATTAGTTACTATGTAGCGTAAAATATATAGGGCAGAGTCGTTAAATTTAACACTTATCAAAGAGCATGAATGAATGCCAATAATGTTAACAAAACCGTTAGGCTGCATTTTGATGCTAAACTCGCGAAGCTAACCATGGTGGCCGTCTATGGTTCATACTTCCGCTGGCACACGCATTTCACTTATTGTGACATTTAGGAGTCCGAAGACGTGAAAGAAGATATAAACACGCACTTCCAGAGGTTGCCGTTGACTTACTTTGTGTGGCAGTCACTTTTAAATCGCACAGTTTCGACCAACAACTCACTCCTGCTTGTATTGTTCGCGCGTGCAGTTTGTGGAAATGATGTATTCTGGGACAAACAGCTATGATTGGTTAATGTGTGACATACGACACTTCCGGTCTAGAAAGGAATGTGGTAGGGCCCCTACAAAGGGTTTGCTTAACCGCGTGTGTCCTTTAATCACAGTTTTTATTAGGTTAAGCTCTGCAAACGCTGAAAATATACTGCTAATCCAAAGAAGACGAGTGTTATGCGGTACCGTTATGATACAAAGTATGAGTTTGTGCCACTTGCTGTTTTGCTCCATGAAGAAAACTCACGATTTAGCCTGCCTAATTAAAAAAATAAATAAATTAATTCAACAATCAGTTAATTTTACTTGATATGCGCAAAGAAAAGGTAGCCATCAGATTTTGTAAGTTACTGCTTTTTTGTTTATTGTGTTGGTTGTTTATGTACACTCGTAAGTATAATGCAAAAATAAATAAGTTTGATGAAATAAAAGAAACAAATAAATCTTTTTAACAATTAATATATGTAATCACAAAATTGAAAACTAACAAGGAAGATAAATAAAGACAATAAATAATAGAAAGATTGTTTTAAAAAGCAGCTTGCAGGTGAATTACATATAAATTCATGACACATGATCTACACTATGTTGGCTTATCTGCATTGACATGCTTATGAATTTTAGTGACATCCTCCTCTTAATCCATAGGGTTTAATATGATTGCAGCTATAATACCGTCAACTCTTCTGGGAAGGCTTTCCCTAAGGTTTAGGAGTGTATTTACTTCTGCAGACTCCAGAAGTGCATCTGTGAGGTCAGACAATGATGTTGGACAAGAAGTGCTGGTTTGCAGCCTCTGCACTAATTCATCTCAAATGTGCTTTGCTGGGTTGTGGTCAGGACAGGCCAGTCAAGTTCTTCCACACCAAACTCGCTAATCCTTCGCTTTGTGCACTGGTGTGCAGCCAGGTTGAACCAATTTGTTCCCACAAAGGTATGAGAATGAAATTGTCCAAAAAGTCTTGGTATGCTGAACCATTTAGAGTTCCTTTAACTAAGGGGCCGATCCCAACTCCCAAAAAACAACTTTACACCATACACCCCCCCTCAACCAGATTTTACACTTGACACAATGCAAACAAGTACTGTTCTCATGGCAACTGCCAAACCTAGACTCCACCATCCGATTGGCAGATGGAGAAGCATGATTTGTCACTCCAGAAAACACATCCCCACTGCTCTAGAGTCCAGTGGCATGTTTTACACTGACACTTTGCATTGCACTTGGTTATGTAAGGCTTGGATGCAGCTGCTCAGCTATGAAAACCCATTCCATGAAGCCCTCTACACAATGTTTTTGAGCTAATTGTAAGGCCACATGAAGTTTAGAGGCCTGTAGGGACTGACTCTGCAGAAAGTTGGCGACGTTTGTGCACTATGTGCCTTAGTGTCTGTTGACTCAGCTCTGTGGCCTACCATTTTGAGTTGCTGTCATTCCCAATCCCTTACACTTTGTTATAATACCACTAACAGCTGACTGGAATATTTAGTAGCTGGACTTGCTGCACTGGTGGGATCCTATCACAGTACCATGCTGAGTTTCAGTGAGCTCTTGAGAGTGACCCATTCTTTCACAAATGTTTGTAGAAGCAGTCTGCATGCCAAGGTGCTTGAATTTATACACCTGTGGCCACGGAAGTGTTTGGATCACCTGAAATCAATCATCACAAGGGGCGAGTTAATACTTTTGGCAATGTAGTCGAAGTTAAAACAGACATTTATTTGAGATATTAGTTGTGACGCTTTCAAGGAATATAAATTTATTAAATTCACACATAAGTAAGTCTCTAGATAAGACACGTTTAAGTAATCCACATGCAGGCAAAACTTGGCACTTACTGCAACAACATAAACATACTGCCTCAACGAAACAAGTTATTTAACACATTTTGATGTAGTTTAAATCATGCCCATGCACATTTGATGTCCAAGCATTTCAATATTTACTGAACCCATCAAAAATAAATTAAGGCCTGCAATTTAACAATGTATATAAGTTAGTAAGTTTCAGTTTTATTTGTCACTTCAATCACAGAACAAAACCCTCCTTGTGTTTTCTTCACCATGAAAGCTAAGACAGAAATTTCACAGGGTTGATACTATGAATATAAAAGACTGAATTGTACTGAAATACGTGAAATACAACGGCAGGGGGTCACTCATAAAACAGTTTGTTACATAAGTGTCTAATATGTCTCAAAATGGCACACCGTGCAGTTCCACGATAAATGAAATGAACATTTATATTTAGGGCCTGTGCTACCACCACAACTGGTAGCACAGTCTCTGAAACAATCTCTGTTACAAACAGTCTCTGAACAGTTCACAGTCTCTGAAAGTGTATGGAAGGATGAGTAGAATCCTTATGAGAGGCATTCCGTCCCACCGTGTAACACATCACTTCAAAGTTTACTTTAGGCATTTTGTTGGTTTGAGGTCCGGTGAGTCTGAAGGCCACAGTATGGTCACACATGTTTTATACTTAATAAACAACTAATATGATTCAGCAAAGGTTTTGACATGTCACAGAAAACAGGTGCAAAAAATAAAACGCATAATGACTATTCTTGGTGTCTGATGGCTCATTGAGACACCTGAACTGAACAACCCCAACCACATTGGTCCTTCTAAAACATTGCAATACCTGTCAAATGACCACTCATGCCTTCTAAATATATCGGCATTTACTATGGTCCTCCACTCTTTCATTCTGTTTTCCCTTTATCTCTGGTCACCACTGTAGGTGTTGATAATACTGCAATATGGATTTGTTCTATGATTCCAGCATAAATTTAAAGTGTTAAAATGTTTAACTGGCAGTAATTCTATAAGTCACAGTTTAGCTAACACCCGCTGGATTTATGTCATAATAACAGGATACAGTAAGATAGTATATGGCATGAAGCATGAAATTCTGAAAAAGCAACAGTTAAGATTAAATGCACCTCCTTTTTCAGTGTCTTTATACGAACACTTCACTTTAAACCACTGACAAAACATTGCACTTTAAAGGTATTTTTTGTTATGCAAATGTTGACTACAATTTTCACCACTGCAGGCAGCATTTTACCAGTGGGTGTGTTGAGATTTTTTCTTAGGTGTTGTGCATTTCTTTTGACGTGATATTTCTTTTAACCTTTACTTTAAATTCCTCAAAAAGTTTTGCTTTTTCCGCACCACCATTGTTTATAGCAGCGATTCCCAAAGTCAAGAGTGCTTCAGCCCAATTAAAAACTAGAAGATCCCATGGGGCACACCCATTTTAAAATTTCACTTCAATTAAAATACAATAAAAAGAGATGTATTTCCTTGAAAATGTTATTCAAAAAACATAAACAGGCTTTTGGCTAGAAATTGCTAAAGTTACCAAGTCATACGTAAAATACTATGGACAATATGGGACCCACCTGCTACTGGGATATAAACTTCAATACAAGAGAAGCAAATATAGGTTGGATTAATAAGTAATATAACAAACTAGCCGCATCTTATCATTTTTATTCACTTTTTAAATAAATAAATCCATTTTACGGAATTTCTGTACCTGTAGTACACTCGCAGCCTATTGTGGCCCCAGCCCACACTTTGGGAATCTGTTTCATAGTAATGCGTCAATGACTAATGCCTGTTTTCTACAAGTACCTGTTTGACTGGACTCGACCTTGTTTTTAGGGTTTGTCATTAGGTGCAAATGGAAAGGTGAAACCCAGCAACAAAAACCAACACCGTGGTTTCCAAGTCTGAGAAAAACCCATAGACTTATAGACTTATACCACTCCCTCGATGTCCTCCATCGTTGTTGTCTTTGTCAGATAAAAATGACGTTGTTATAACGACCCCATGCACATTGAGGTGGAAATGAGAAACTGAGTATAGCAAAGTTGAGTTGAGCCAAAGTTGTGGAAACAAGGCTTCAATGACTTGCTGGGCTGACTGATTGCACCATGTTATGTTACATACTGGTATCATACAAAAGTACAGTTTCGTCCTAGTTTAAGTTCAGTTAATATTTATTTAACACAAAACAAAGATTTTTTTTACATAAACTTGTGGTGAACTTTTTTTTTAAACATATAAATTTACAATAAATAGCTTTAAGCTGCTTTTTAAATGGATCTATTGACATTAAGGTAAGAACAAACAGCAACAGTTTGTCTTACAACTGTACAGTTTACGTAAGAAGGATCCTTTAGGCTGAAGCATCAGTGTCACACGGAGTTGCTCCTGCAGGTTAGAGGCACAGAGGTATGGGACACTTCAATGTGCACAGTGGACATGGGATATTGCTCACACTCTTCCTCTAGTGGGAAACAGCGGCAGTGTAGGAGCACCTCGCTCACCTCTTGCCTAAAGTTGGAGTTCAGGAATCCGTAGATGACGGGGTTAATGCAGGTGGAGGACATGGCCAGCAGGTGGCAGAGGGAGAACAGCAGGTTGTGGTGACAGACGGGCAGAGCCTCCTGGTTCCAGTCTGACACCACGTTGAAGATGGTGAGCGGAAGCCAGCAAAGGGCAAAGACTGTTATGAGAGCAACCAGCATGATGTTGATCCGGCGGCTGTGGGTCATGCGCTGGCACTCGGGGGTCCGGGCGCGGTCCAACATTTCTTTGCGGTGACGGAGCCGCACAATAACTCTAACATAACAGAGCAGGACCAAAAACAGTGGCCCACAGTACTGGAACAGCAGAAGCCACGTGGTGTAAGCGACCCTGTGACCCTGGGATGGCCAGTGCTCCACACAGGCTTCCATATGTGAAGAGGTGGGGACGTAAGAAAAGAGGGAACGGTATGAATTTTTAAGCGCAGACAGGTTTTTGTATGTATGAGTAGGAGATGTGTTGAGATAAGCATGAGGAAAATCTTGGTCATGTACCGATGACACGGGCAGGATTACATTGGTATAGGGCTCATTTGTGAGCAGCTGAAAGGCCAAGAAAGGCAAAGATGTGAAGCAGGCCAGTATCCAAATGAGAACAATCGCCATGTAGGCCTGAGGAACACTTGGTTTCCATCCAGAGGGGTTAATGATAAGCTGGTGCCTTTCTAAGGCGATAAACACTAGAGACAGCACTGACACACTCACAGAGACACACTGGATGAACGGCACCAGGCGACATAACAGCGAGCCAAACACCCAGTGGTCCATGATTGTGTATATGACAGTGAAGGGGAGGCAGAAGACACATACCAGAATGTCAGAGAATGACAGGTTGCAGATGAAAATGCTGGTGACATTGACCTTTTCTCTGCGGCGGGCAATGATGCAAATGAGGCCAATGTTGCCCACCAACCCTAGCACCATTGTAACACTGTACCAGGCTACAAGGCATGCTGTCAGAACAGGAGACATGTGGCACTGCTCATCATGCTCCAGAATGGCGAAGTCTGAGAGGAGCTGGGTCTCATTCCCTGGCCAGTCCTGTACAGACCCATGGCTGGCTCGCTCTTTCTCCCAAGCTGAGGATTGTGGAGGGGTGGAGCTGTTGAAGATCAAAGGAAAAGGTGACGCTGACAAAGAAGACTGGGTTGTGTTGCCACTCAAGGACATCTCACCAAGACTGAAGTGTCACCAGCACCATGGATCAAACTGTCCATCCCAGCCCTCTGAAAACATGCATCTGAAACAAAGAGAGAAATCACAGATTCATGAAATACATTTATTCTACTGCTCTTATACTATAGAAGTCAATTAATGTGTGTATGTAGGAGTAATACTGTTGCTATAAATGAAGGAGAACTAAGCTGATCCTGTTTCTAAAAAATAGAAACTACATGTGTGAGGAATTAGTGCCTGATAGAGTTGAAGGAAGTTCAATTATATGTACAATAAATGTTTGATGGGGTGGAACCATCAGCGTAGCTTTGTGCTGAACATTGGGGGGGAGGGGGGGGTCAAGATCTCTGTCTAAATAAATAAAAAATCTGGGTAAATTCCCAGATGATTAAATATGCTACTATATTGCTGGTAATACCTGAAATGAGTAAAGAAAATCAGCCTATTTATGCAAGATAATTCATAATTTTATTGGTGGTGGTGGGGGGGTTATATTGGTTGCGTCTGATTATGGTAAATGGCCTGTATTTATATAGCGCTTTACTAGTCCCTAAGGACCCCAAAGCGCTTTACATATCCAGTCATCCACCCATTCACACACACATCCACACACTGGTGATGGCAGCTACATTGTAGCCACAGCCACCCTGGGGCGCACTGACAGAGGTGAAGCTGCTGGACATTGGCGCCACCGGGCCCTCTGACCACCACCAGTAGGCAACGGGTGAAATGTCTTGCCCAAGGACACAACGACCGAGACTGTCCAAGCCGGGGCTCGAACCGGCAACCTTCAAATTACAAGGCGAACTCCCAACTCTTGAGCCACATTATTGGGGGGTCATAACCCCTCTAACCCCCCTGGAAATTACGCCCCTGGGTGGAACAGTGGTTAGCACTATTGCTTCATGGCAAGAAGGTTGCGGGTTCAGGCTGAGGCCTTTCTGTGTGGAGTTTTTTATGTTCTCCTGTGTCTGCACGGGTACTCCGGCTTCCTCCCACAGTCCAAAGACATGCAGTTAGTCAGGTTAGGTTAAATGGTGAATCTAAGTGATGAGAACATGTTTGTCTGTCTCTTTGTTAGCCCTGCGACAGACTGAGAACCTGTCCAGGGGTTGGTAAGCAAAAGAAAATGGATGAGTGGGTTACTATGAAATGTTTTACTAACATTCATGGGTCCCCAGAGCAGAAATCCTAAACACTATGATGACTCATTGGCTAGTTTGCTGACTTCAAATTCGTAGGGGCTCTTTGGTGTAGCAAGGATATCAGGACTGCGAGTAATGGATGGTCTGTGTGAGTCATTGCAGTCACTTTATGGTCAATCTGTGTCTACACAAGATTCATTCAGGCCCACTACTGAGTCGTATATTACCTGACATTTTGGAAGTCCTCAGATCCCACTAAACAAGTAGTATTACATTCACTGGCCTCACTTATTAGTTACGCTTTGCCAGTACAAGGTTGGTCCCCCGTTTGCCTTTGGAGTGCATTAATTCTTCATGGCAGAGATTCAACAAAGTGCTGGAAAAATTCCTCAGAGTTTTAGTCCAAATTAACATGATAGAGTCACACAGTTGGTGCAGATTCTTTGGCTGTGCGTTTATCTTCCATTCCACCACATCCCAAAGGTGCTCTATTTCTGAAATGATGCATATTTCTGCTGTAAGCAGCCATCTGAGTATAGATGCAATATGGTCATAAAAAACATGATCATCAACAATACTCGGGTAGGCTGTACTATTTAAATGATGTTCAGTTGGTATAAAGAGGCCCAGAGTGTACAAAAAAAATATCCCCCAAGTCATTTCGCCATTACTAGGCAGGATAGATCTTTATTGTGTTTATTTATGCTTATTATGCAAAATTCTGACCCATCAAATTTTTTTCATCAGACCAAGCAACATTTTTCCAGTCTTTTCCTGTCCACTTCTGGTTAGCTTGTGTGAAATGTCAGCTAAGAAGATTCCTTGCATTCCTCTTCTTAGCTGACAGGAGTGGCACCTAGTGTGGTCTTCTGCTACTGCCTATACCAGGGGTAGAGAACTCCAGACCTCGAGAGCCGGTGTCCTGCAGGTTTTAGATCTCACCCTTGATCAACACGTCTGAATCAAATGATTAGTTCATCACCAGGTCTCTGGAGACTTCAAGACATGTTGAAGAGGTAATTTAGCCATTTAGACCAGCTGTGTTGGATTAAGGACACATCTAAAACCTGCAGGACACTGGCTCTCGGGTTCCCTACCCCTGGCCTATACGCTTCAAGGCTTGACAGATAATGTGTTTAGAGATGCTCTTCTGCATAGCTCTGTCATAAAGAGCGGTTATTAGAGTTACCGTTGCCCTTGGCAATCTGGCCATACTCCTTTGACTTTTGGCATCAATACGACATTTTAGCCCAGGCTTTTTTGGGCTGTTCTCTGAAAACTGTAGAGACAGTTGTGTGGGATAATCCAAGCAGTTTCTGACACAATCAGACCAACCCTTATATCAGCAACAATCATGCGACATTCAAAGTACTTTAAATCATCCCATTCTAATGCTAAGGTTGAACTTCATATCTATATTAACTAGCGTCCATGTGACAGCTGATTATATTTGTGTTAACAAGCAGTTGAACCACTGTACCTAACAAAGTGGCCAGTGAATGTTTGTACATTACAAAAGGCAAAATAGACTTGATAAAATACAACAGAAGCTGTGCTTGTGTAGACAGGTGAGTTGGTGAAGATAAGAGAGTATGTGTTCTGTCAGTCCTGTGAGACAGATGACTGAAAAACGTGCAGAAAAAATGCACGTGGTGGAGACAAACTGTCAGGACCAACGACTGCTCTTGCGATCCTCCACACTTTAAATCCAGATGTTGAACATTATAATTATTAAACATCTAGATTTATCTTTGTCTTAGATATCAGGTTGACTGCAGTCCTCATGTAAGAATGACACCTATATAAAAAGGAAGAAAATATGAAGTGCTTTCACAGTTTAAATAACAAAAGACTTTGAGTACAGGTGATAAAAGGTGATAATTACATTCTTTTGTAAGCGACTTGGCCTCACACTAATAATTGCTGCAATTCCTTGTCCAAAAATCAACAGTCAGGTCTCAAGACTGAACATAAAAAGCTAATGATATCAACATGATTATGAATACACAGACTTAGATTCATTTATTTTAATGAAAGGGTATGACATTGTCATGATCCTAAAAATGGACTAGCCATCTTCCCTGGAACCTCTGCTATGTGCCATGAAAACCATAAGAAAACGAGACTGTCACTTTCCATTAACAGCGCACACACTTTGCTATCAGTCACCTCACCCTGCATCATTACTAACCTACTGTGTCAGTGTGTTGAGTGAGCTGCAGGCAGGGTGGCACAGCATCGATCATCCTTTGTTCGGTGAGGAAAGGCAAGTGTAATGTCACCGGTAACTACATGCAACAAATAACTGCAACAGTGAGTAGAAACCATGTACAGCAGTAGTAAGAAAAGGAAATATTGAAAACCAACAGCCATTTTTAAACCGCTAATGCTGCAATTGTGCGATGCTGTGGGGAACACATACATCAAGTAGTTGTGTTAGTGTGTTGGACACACTGCAGCGCTAAGTCTCTGCATGGTAAGGAACACTGTGACCTGTCTCCACTTGACCCGTCATATTATTCTTATCTTTGCCTCAAAAAGTGCCCTCCATCTCAGAGAAAATAGATGAAACAGAAATGAAGGCAAGGCTGTTATGTTATTTTTAAAAAGACATTGTACTGTGCAGTGAAAGGTGGATTCCACATATACCTTTTAAGCAGCAATCTTGCACTTAATCTACCTGCTAAAGAGTGCTGAGGGTAGTGTCATATAAAGGTAATATTTCTGAGAAATGAAAAATAGTTTATTATAGCTGAACACTGCACTTGATTATAAAGGTCTGACATGTGCTATTCCAAAGGGATGAACAATTTGGGGTTTTTTGTTTTTTTTTTGCGTGTAATGAATCTGTACTGCAGGTAAAATGCATTTGAAAATGAAAATAAAGATATATGCTTGACTGAAAAACAAAAAAAGCCCAGTCTTTCAATTACCCCTCTGCAATCACAGGTTGTGTTTCTGCTTCACTTCTTACCAGTACAGCCACTTACTAGATTCTAAAAATTTCCTAAATCCAAAAGAATAGTCCAATATGTGTGTGCAATCGATACAGCTGCTCAGAGACTATTTTCTTTCATATTGCCTTGTGCCGGTGATAATCAGGGTAACGGCAGCAGGCACTGTGCAGTGTGCTCAACCTGAGCTAAGCCTTGTTATCTGCTGGAGGTGTCAGGGATTGTGGGTGACACCTCTCAAATCTACTACAAATACTTTCACAATGTGGTTCTCTTTACATTTCAACAAAGAACACGAAATATGAATGCAATGTTGTTCCCCTGTTTGCGTTTTCTTTTGGATAAATACCACCAGACATGCGTGCTGTCAGATGCTTTTGTTAGACTGTATAATTGAAAAGATATTTGTAGAAGGAGAGACCTACATTACACCTGCTTACAGTCTCTGGACACTGCAAGCTGACAGTCTAGAAACAATACAGCATTCATTTCATAGCTGATTGAATCCTAATCAATACTGATTTCCCTCGACAAAGATGATGAATCCATTCAATACATCAATATTGCGTGTTTAAAAAAAAGAAAGATAAAGGACTCACGTGATGGTTTAGCTGAAAAATGAGTTTCAGTGAAGCCAGGATGAGAGAAAATGATGCTCTGAACAGGTGTGAATCCTCAGGGATTAGAGTTGGAGAAGAAGCTGTGCACTATAACAACCAAAGCAATTGTGTCAGAGGCAGCAGCGAGAGGAGCACAGCTATAATTGTGCTTAGAGCCCCTTCAGGTGCCAAAGACCCTCTGAGGACCGTGCTCTGCTGTCACACAGTGGTGAATTTATTCAATTGCATCCTGAAAATGAAACCAGCTGCAAGTGCTGACAAGAAGACACTGAAGACTCAGGAAGCAGAGTTGAACCGAATTTATTGATGAAGAGCAAGTTTGATAAAGTGGTCATCTTTGTTCATTGGTAATTTAATGTCATAATCTAGACCCAGTCTGGATTTTAGTCGCCTTTAGAGTGTATTCAGATAGGGCTGCACTCTTTTTCATTGTCAGACTTCATCACCACCTTAACAGAGCAGGCCTTCTCATTCACAACCAGCTCACACTCCTCAGGAACATCTACAGTGTTTGCATCGGGGATCCTATGATACAAAAAGAAAAAAAGAAACAATAATAATCAAAAACAATCTCAGGGGTTTTGTTCATTTAGTAACTCTTAAATTGGAAGTTATCACTGTTAAAGCCTAAAAAGAGAACTTATCACAGTCCTACGAGTAAGAAAGCTGAGAGAAAAGAGGTTTATTTGTTTAAAGGAAAAATGCCTTAATGATTAAAAAAAAAACAATAATGTGGAAGTCTTACTTGCTACAGCAGCTCAAACCCTCGCTTGTACAAGAGCAGTCCATGCAGTCTCTCACCCATGCAGAGTCAAAATCATGCAGCTCTCCATCCTTATCCACACACCCTACATGTAAAGAAATGAAAACACAGCTCAACTCAAAGGAGTTGTTGACTTACTTACTCAGAGGCACTCCTTACTTGTGTTTAAGCATCTATTAGTGTATGCATAGGTGTGGTTAAGGGATTAGATGTGGAATAAATGTCTAATATCTGTAAATCATGACAGAGAAACCTTTCCCCCACACCCAGTGTCCTGCTGCACTGCTGCAGTATTGTATCTGTACAAGAAAGGTCTCATGTGACTCACCTTTTGGAGGGTTATTTGGATCTTTGACCTCTAACTCCTCGAAGAAGCATTGAGAGTGACAGAGCACAACGAGCCCCAGCAGACAGACAAACACATGTAGAGAGGACTGAAAGAGAAACACATTTCATACTAAAGTAATTTCTATCCTTTTAAGACCTTTAACATGACAGGAAATGGCCAACTACTGCTTCGACTAACAACTATTCTGTTCAGTTGACACAGTGTATACACAGTTGTACCTTATATCTTACATAACCCGAGGCGTGTGTAAATATAAAATACAATTCTGAAAAAGCAGAATGATTTGCAGGTGTCATAAACTCAGTGTTTAAACTAAGATATTTTACTAATTCATGAAAATTATGAGCTTATTTTGAATCTGAATTGACAGTACCACATCTAAAAAAAAAAAAAAGTAGGTACAATTACTAAAAAGAAAGTCAAAGATTTGTAATTAGGTTCATTGGCAACAGGTTAGCAACAGGACTGAGCAGAGGTTTACCAATCTGCAAAAATCTGCCTCTACAAATTGTGGAAGAATTTCAGAATAATGTGACCCAACATAAACTGCAAAGACTTTGAATATTTCATCATCTACAGCACAAAACATCATCCAAAGATTCAGAGCATCTGCAGAAATCTCTGTGCGCAGGAGATACGACTGAAAACTAATTCTGGACGTTTGATCTTTGGTCCATCAGGCAGGACGAGATTAAGAACAAGGATGAATCTGTCACGGAAATCCCTGCATGGGCTCAAAAAAAACACTTCCAGAAATCACTGTACAAAGTTAACTGTGTCATCCACAAATGCCACTTAAAGCTCTATCATACAAAGAAGAAGCCATATATGAACATGATGATGAAAAGCCACCATCTTCTCTGAGCCAAAGCTTATTTAAAATGGACAAAGTGAACCAAACTTTTGGTCGATCAAGAAATATTTTTGTGGACTATAGTTAAAAAAAGAGTGGATGCAACACAGAGATAAACAGGGAAGCTTTGGTACCATTAAATTAATTTAAAAAAAAAAAATGTTAAATTTTCTCTTTTTAAACACTGGTATGATTTACATATTCTATGGTGAATAAAACATGGGTTTATGAGATTTAAAAATCTGTTTTCTTTTACATTTTATAACATTTTTGGAACTGAGTTTGTGAAATATATACACTCTGACAACAATTACGTGATTGAAATCTCATAACTATTCATATTTACATTTATACTGAAAGTTATTTTAAAAAAATAGCTGTGATTAGAGAATATATAAAAGAAAGTGTAAAATACGTACCATCCTCAGTTATGATGTATCCCAGCCAACAGAAAAACTGTGTGTGAAAAGTCGGTAGTCACGGATTTTATTAAGGTGTGACTCCCATGTATATCATTATGATAATATTTAAACAGTGATGAACGTTTTTTATCAAATATTTGTTTTAAGGTGGAGAAGACCAGCAGGTTATGTTGAAACTGCATATCAAAAACAACATTTTCACCAGCGATAGAAATGGTTTGTTTCTTCTCACGAATCAAACTCAAGCACAGTGAAAAAGCAGCCGTGAAATAATTAGTCAGAAAAACAAAAGTTATTTTCCTTGTCTAGCAACTTTTATTCCTGAGCCAAAAGGCAGAGATTGATTACTTGCATCGATAAACGATACGCGTTGTAAACAGTTAAAGTTTGGATCAGACCTGCCAGAGTAAACACTGCACTTTTGAACCTTTGCTTATTAAAAAAAAACAAACTGCTTTTAAAGCTTTATAGGCAACAGATGATATCTCCATGTTTCTACAGTCACCACTTAACAATCAGTAAAAAAAATAAAATTAAAAAAAAAAATCGTAGAAAACCATGACAGAGTATCAAACTGGGATAAAGAAACAATTACACATATAAGGTTTAATGTGCAAAATATACATTTTTTGCAATGAATATTCACATACTTTATTGAGTTTAACTCTGAATATAGGGAGCTCTATGTCAGTGGTGAGTTCATCTTAGTGCAAGTGAAATAAAAGACATTTTTTATGTTAGTGCAGAGGATTTGTTTTTCTTTTTGCACATCTAAAGAAACGAGTGCTCCTTTGGTAGCAGCTATCCAACAGGTGTCAGATATGTTTGCAGCAAAGCCTGAGCTCTGAGGCATCACCACCTCAACTCCCGAAGAGGCACAACTACAGTATCAACCCACAGCTATCTCATTAGATTTCTGCTGTAATTATCAAGTACCACCAAAAACCCAAACCACCACCGAACAGTAAACAAACCCAAAGCAGAAGCTAAGAATGACAAAAGTGATCATTTAAAGGCAAATCTTCAAAGAAAATAAGTGTACCTGCATCGCTTAGCCAACAAATAAATCTCATTCTTTTCCTTTGGCAGTGTGCAATTACATTTAAAGGTACTGCTCAACATTTTGAGACAAACACTTATTCAGCGTCTGATATAATGTACATATGAAACTGACTTTTTGGAGTCATGTGACCGCTAACCACGTGATGTTAACTTTTGCCATTTTGGACATGTGACAATATAGGCCAAGTAAATAAGGCCCCACTCTCACAGGTGTAGAGAACATTCAGTGACCCGACCCCCACCAGTTACTAGGGAAAACAAGTAATCCCCTACTGCTTGGCAAAAACCTCTTTGAGATCATTTTGATTCCCCATAGTTAGCATGAAAACAGCAACTTGTCTGCAATCACTCACCAACTGCTCTCCAAAAAGTAGTTAAACTGTGAGAAGTCCAACAAACAGAGACTATTTGACTTTAAAGTGAAAGCAGAAGTTGAGTTTTAAAAATAACATTGTAAACTGTGAGACAATCTCCATTTCTGGTTTGCGCTACACTTTTTCCAAGTTTCACTACCACTCAGTGGGTAGTAAGAGAGTATTTCCACTTAAGTTGGTATCTTCCATGCTAACTACAGACGTTTACAATGATCTTCTTGCAACCACGGCAATCACAGGGTGAATGTATTTTTCTTAGCAACTGGTGGTTGTATCATGTCCAACATGGTGAGAAATCTGTTGTCCTGTGAGAAACCTCTATAGTTAGCAGCCAGACAGCATAGCTTAGCTTAGCGTAAAGACCAGAAACAACCAACGACATTTATCCAAAGTTAAAAAATTAAAAAATAAAAATCCAAACAACAGATATCAAAACATCAGTATTACTAAAACTTGATGTTTATAAAAAGAGTTTATCATTTCAAATGTGCTGGTAGTGTACCCTTAAACAGACCCTGGTCAACTATACCCCGGTTTCCAGTCCATGTGCTAAGCTTAGCTAAATGTCAACATAGAAGTTAGCTAACTTCTATATTGACAGCTAATCTAACATGTAAGAAAGTATTGTTCCACAACTGTCACTTTTATCAGAGAAATTAATCAAAGAGAACATGTTTTTAAGTTTTTTTGTATAATAAATTATCAAGTTTTTTCACTAAGGCATTCACATTAGAGTCCCATGCATGTTTCCACTACTGTAACTTCAACTTTATCCAATCAGAGTTTTCATGAAGGCCGGTTTACTGAAGGGCCAGTGATACTGGTTGGGGACGGGTCCATTCACGTTACACTCAAAAAAGGAGAACATGGGGAACCAAATGCGTGCCCTTCGGCTATGCTGGTAGGCACGAGTGTTAGCTAAGGTGTGATAGTAGAGGAAGAGGCGAGTGGTGATGTAGAAGGCGATGAACACGTCGATGGAGTAGTGCTCGTGAGCAGCCAGGATGAAGAAAATCCCAAACAGGTTTAACACCCAAGATATGGTGTGAATCAGATTCCATGTTCGTGGAGTATCTGCAATTAGGAAACATAATTATAAGACATGCTCAGTGTATTTTATGTGTATCCAAAGCTTGCAGACATCCTTGGTACTAGTTTATTTTGAGCTGGACAGCTGGTATGAGATATTTGTGCTGATATACTTTGTTGTTGCCAAATGTGCCACTGTGCATTTTGTCCAGACATATCCACTTTGGTCTTCTCTATCCAAAAGACATTTTTCCAGAGGTTTTGTGGTTTGTTGAAAGGAAGTTTTCAAAGCTTAACATTAATGCCATGTTCTTTTTAGGGAGAAGAGTCTCCTGGCAACTCTTCCAAACAAGCCATACTTGTTCGGTCTTTTTCTGATTGATGGACTTCAAATAGTTTGGAAATGGACTTTAACTGCTCCCAGACTGATGGGCAGAAACAACTGTTTCTGATACATTTCATGTTTGGCATTGTGTTAACACTTGTCTAAATGCTCCAAATCAACAAACAGCCGCTGCAAACCTCTACTGTGATAGAGGTGCTCACACTTGCTGATGATCAGATATTACTTACACTTGTTTCTACTTGTGGTCTTGATTCCTGTGACAGCAGTAAGCCTGTGCTTTGTTGTTTTATGCATTACTTCTGCATTTTGGCTTATCTATTGTTAAATAAATAATGACATGAGGTGTATTTAAGGGAATTTAAGACCTGCTGAGGAACAGGTGATTTATAAAAAAAATTAAGTCCCAATACATAAAACCTTAGAGTTAAAAGAAGGTGTACTTTCCTTAATTATAATCACAGCATTTCTTTCCTACTAGTAAAAATACAAGACCTAACAAGAAAGTACACTCTCACTAAACTCATTGAAAGCCGAACAAAATAATTAATCCTCACATTCAGTCACAAAGAAGTTGAGCATCGTGATGACAACAGTGTGCCCACTGAACATGTAGTCTCCACAGGTTTGCACGCCTGTCAGAGTCATCCCAAATCCACTCCAGATTGTTAGAGCCCTCTGTATCTTTCCCCAGGTGTCACCATATGTCTGAGGGACAAAAAAAACCCCTCCAGTAATTAGTCATGCTGTGAATCACAGTGGCAGCTGTTTATTAGTTATCACCGCAGTACAGCTGAGTGATCAACTGAACTGTAACACTGCCAACAGCAATGAGAATAAAAATTTTAAAAAACTCCAGGAGGAAAAATGATTTGCACTTCCCACCTTGCTGGCACACTTCAGGTGCTGCCCTGGCACAGAAAGCGAGGTGGCAAACATGGTGCAGCAACGAAGCAAAAACACCGTTCCCATTAAAGAACACAGCCGCCTGAAGAGGATGGACCTGAAACACAGACGCACGCCCAACTCAGTGTAATGTGATGGCAGCAGCTAGGAATGTGCAAACTGCAGAAACGACACCTATGGGCTACCTGTGTTTGTGAAGGAGCAGGATCAACAGAAACATGTAACATAAGATGAGACCACAAGCTTCAGCCATGGCAAAAGCCCAAGGAATTCTGGGTACACTGTTAAGAGTACAAAAACATGCATATCAGAAAGCAGATAAGATATGAGTGCAGCTCAATGTGTACGTGAACTATGGAGCTTACGTTGCTCAACAATCCCTGGAACCACCATATAGATACTTATCAGTGCAAAATATGCAAAACATATAAAATATGCAAGCTTGTACCTGTCCAGGAATATATCAGGCAGCGGTGGGTATGTCCTCATGTCAGGGACGCGCTCATGTACGATGACCATAACAAAAGATGTGAATCCAAAAACAAGAAAAACATATATGGAACTGATGACTGTTTTCCAAACCTCTGGGTCCAATCTACCAGCTAAGTGCTGCCTACACCTCCCGTTGGAGTGTGTGTGACACAGCACCTCTCCTGAGCTGTATCCAGATCTATTGCTGTTCCTTGACCGCAGCTCAGTCCCGTTACACAAGCGATCACCTCCATTACACCCGTCAGCTCCATCGCAGCTCCACTTGACCCCAGTAGTGCCTGTGGAGAGCCCGGCGGGAAGACTGTCCGAAGGTGCGAGGCCCAGCTCCTCTAGCTGGGCCTGGTTTTTTCTCTGGAGCTGGCGGAGGGCTATGGTTAGCCTTTTGATGTCTCCCAGCACCGTGAGGCCCAGAGGAGGACCCCTCAGGTCGGCCTCAGTCAGAGCCAGCAGACTGAGGCCGTCCAGGCGGTGCTGTGTGCACAGTAGCTCCACGTACTGCCCAAAACCTTCTTCCTTCAGCCACTGGGCCACCTGCTTACAGCTCCAGGCACTCACATCATCTTCCGACAGTGCCATGCTGCTGCAGAAACAAACACTGTTAAGTAACGTGGGGTATGACAGATAAAAAAATAACTGAAATTACAGCGGCAGAGAAAAGAAGTATGAACACGCACACACACTGATGTGCTGACTGATCAAAGGGTGCTGTTAACAATTCTCTAAAGCTTGATAATTAAGTGCCACTTCCTCCTCTGCATTTTGATCACTTGATTTCATAACTGTTCAGTGCCATTCTTTTAATGCAAAACTGCCTGAAGCTCACCCACTGACACTTCTACTCAATTTGCATGAAAATTAACACGAGCACTTTCCCCGCTGTTCATATCATACAGCGCTGCAGTTATATAAATTATTCATAAGTTTGCTGATTATTCTCCACAGTGTAGTGGTTTACACATTCGAATAACAAGCGAGAGATCGCTGGTTTGATCTCCGGGAAGAGTCATGAATCTCTTTGGTTCATCCAGAAGATCATCTGGGGTGTAGATCTGCCAAATTAAATATGCGGAAAAGCCCGCTGTGGCGACCCGTTATGAATGACAGAGCAGCTGAAAGTAGCTTCTTTATTCTCCAAACCATTCATGTTTTTTTTTTTCTTTTTTGGCATGAAATTTGATTTAAAAAAAAAAAAAAAAGCAGCATCAGGCACAGCAGCATCTCAAATGTCTTGTTTGGAACAAAACAGTATAGTAACCAAAGTAAAACTAAATGAGAGCAAATTTCAACAAATTTATTGTTTCTTTAGTAAATATATGGGTTAGAGGTCTGTTATTTTTGTCACAGATAAGCATATCCATCATGACTTCTCCAAAACTGGGATTTGTAATCCAGCCGTCCCAGAATTGAAGCCACTTTGATAATTTAGAGATTGTTAGATGGACAAAATGAGTCCTTTCAAGGTCAAGGCAAATTGTTATTGCCGTATTTTACAGTTTTCACATTTTTGGTCACTTTAACAATTAAAAAGTCATCATTTTTAATCAGTAAGTGCAGGGTTAATTAGCCGAGGGGTTGGCTGCCTGCTTGTGCTCTTATTTAGTGAAACTCTGCAGTGCACGCTGCAGCCTGCTTAGCTGGTTTTGCATCATCTGTGTTCAGGTCAGTGACTGTACGTTAGCACTTTGTCCTGCTTTAGCCAGGGCAGAGTGTCCCACCTAAAGCAGGAATTCAAAACCCCAAAACAGTGAGTCACTAAAAAAAACCACAGGAGACTATAATCAATCTTTGCTTTGCAGTTCGCTCATTTCTGCCCTTTGAACTATGACAAGCTCACCACTGTACAGCTCCACTTGTACTCCAAAGGTCTACAAGTTCAACCAACACGGCTGTAGTACTGTACCGATGGCCTGCCTGCTGAGTCGACACTATATACAGCCTTGAAATTTTTATTTTGTACTGAACCAAACCGAGAAAATCCAGGAATAATTCTTTTTTATCATGATGTTAAACAGGATCATTATGGAGCTGACTGATTGAATGATTAGCTGATCAAGCAGCAAAAAATTAACTGACAAAATTCATCAAACAATCCTTCTAAGAAGCAGAAAATCTGGTAGTTTCTGGAACGTGCTGTACATTTTTTCGTAATATATTCTGACATTTTAACAGCTAAACATTTATGACAAGATTAATTGATTTAAAAATAAAACAGCCTAAATACTAGATTCTAGCCTCAAAGCTTTTGTTGGTGGTTTCTGAATTTTGCCTTCAGCCTGACAGCCACACCTAGTATGACATCACTCCTCTGACACTGGTTCAGTTTGGCACTGAAAGTCACCGCTGATGAAAATCCCTGAAACCTACAAGCAGCTCACTCACCGAGGCGTGTGCAGATCTGCTCCCTCAAAGAGAAATAAGTTATTTTTAACTAGCCTCGAGATTTTACTGGCAACATCCCGCAGCTACTTGGGATATAAAAGTGCCATGTCAGCTTGTTTGGCTGGCTTACAGTGAGTCACAGTCAGGCAGTAGGACACAGCTCAGTGTGTGTGTGTGTGTGTGTGTGTGTGTGTGTGTGTAAGAGAGAGCGAGAGAAAGCCCTTCAGTGTGTGAGAGAGACAGAGGCAGCTCAACAAAGAGCTCATAGTGTCTTTTCACCGCAGAGGCTACAATGTAACGTCAGATTGCAACATTTCACTACTAGCTCAGCAACTTTCTTCACATGAACAAAAATGTTCAACTTAGAGCAAACACGTCACAGGAAGTCCACTTTATTATCCAATGATCGTCTCACTTACCAAACATCCACTGTCACTGCGCTGCTACAAGGTGCGGATGAGCCGTCTGTTTACTCCACCGCTCATAGGAGTATTTCACAGCCAACATGCTTCGGACTACTAAGCAACAACAAACAGGAAGAGGCAACAGCAAACAAAAAGCAGCCAAGAGGAGCAGGATGCCTCCTGCGAGACTTCAGCTCAAAGGACACTGACATCTGCTGGTTACACTTGGAAAGCCTGGGATTTCTATAATCCGTCAACTTTGACTGTTTTATTGTGGTTTTCGTTCTTAAAACAGTATTGTCATTCTTGCCTTGGCATTCATTTCCCCCCTTTATAACATTCAAACTTTTTTATATGAGGTTATGTTATACATCAATATCTCATGCATGAACTTAAGCTATGTATAAGTGAAGAGTGTGCTATCGTTTTAGCAACAAATCATTGATGAAATGAGCTGTTTTCATTGTCATTTTGGGGCATTGAATATTAGTGTCAAGCCGACTGCGGCAGTAAATGTTGTTACTCTTTTAGCCGTGAAAGCATCATTATGTAGAGGAAAGTAGGAAGAAAAGTTAATACAAACTAAACCTATAATGTTAAAAACATGTGCCATCATTCACTAAGCAAATGCTTATTAGAGATTACAATAAAACTGCATTTATGTATGCAGACATGGTACTAAAGCATCAGAATGGGGAATAAGGGTGATTTAAAAGTCTCTAAATGTGGCATTGTTGCTGGTCTGGTCTGAGTATTTCAGAAATGGCTGACTTACTGGGATTTTCTTGCATAACTGTCTTTAAGGTTTACATAGAATGGCCCAAAAAACAGAAACTATTCAGTGAATGGCAGATCTCAGAGTGAAAATGCTTCTGGACTAACTGCTTTAAGCTGCTGGGAATTCTCATTATGACCAAGATATGCAGAAGAGCATGGATAACACACGATAACACACCTTTCTTGAACATAACAATGAGTTTATTGTACTCAAATGGTCTCCTTGGTCTCTCAACAGATAATTATATTCTCAACATAAATGTTTTTAAATAGCTTTTTCTATCACGTTTAAGTAGATCTCATGTCATACCTTTCCTACAGATTGTACCGTTGAGTCTGTCATAACTGGAAAGCAAGCTTGAGAGGTTGACTGAGAGCCAGTGCCAATGAGCCACCTGTTTTTGACAGTCAGAGGCTGAGTGAGGTGGAACTGCTGCTGAAAGAGAGTCAAGGCGAAGGCAGCAGAGTGCAGCTTGGTTTCATTTTGGTAAAGAACAAAGCAGACCGTCTGCCATTGTAAAAACTTTGCAATGACAGACAGAAAGTCCTCCTCAGGTGCTGCCACAGGGATGATATGTGATATACAAGATTTGGAGCCAAAACAGAAGAAGTGTGTGGCAGGGGGATCAGAGAGAAAGTGGGAGATCTCATCTCTCCAGGATCTGGAGGAGGTTTTACACTCAGCTCCACGCTCCTGTCGACATGGAGACGAGGTGTGGCCGAATCTGTTTCTGGGAGACATGTGAGTATCGTGAGCTGGATTTAAATTCAACGTATGCACATCTGGATTGTATTCATGTGTTACATCTGCTGTTTGTGTCAGGTTTATGTCTCATGACAAGTTTGGGCTCTACCAGCTAGGGATCACTCATGTGCTGAATGCCTCACATGGTAAACTCTGCTGTAAAGGTAGTGATGATTTCTATGGAACCACAGTGAAATATTACGGAGTCCCTGCCAACGACCTCCCCACATTTGACCTCTCGCCATATTTCTACCCCGCAGCTGAGTTCATTCACCAGGCTTTGACATCAGGAGGTACTGCAAGCAGATTTTCAGAGGATGATACAAATCTGAGTTTTCACTATATTTGTTTCTGCCTTTTCTGACTTTCAGGGAAAGTGTTTGTGCACTGTGCTGTGGGTGTGAGTCGTTCAGCTGCATTGGTCCTAGCCTACCTGATGATTCATCATCACCTCAGTCTGTTGTCCTCTATACGTTGTGTGCAGCAGAAGCGCTGGATTTTTCCCAACAGAGGCTTCCTGCGACAGCTCATAGACCTGGACCAAAAACTGCAGGATGATGGTTTAAACGATCCAGAGTAAGAAAGCCAGAAACAACCCTCTATTTCCTCCTCCATTTGCACCATTTATTGCATGTATAAACCAAAGTGTTCAGCTTCATTCACTCCCCTCCCCTGTCCTCTTCTAATGTGACATCAGTGGTATCAGTGCGAGCTCCTGAATTCTCCCCCTGGGGTTTTTTAGCATCAGTGAACAGACCAATCAATGCTACAGCGTTACAACATTAAATAACTACATCCAGACAGTCTGAGAGCACACTGAACACAGAGAGCTAATTTTGGAGCCAAGCAGCGTTCAAACAACCACCTGCTCATGCCTCTCACTGAGCTGTAGACTTCGGTGGGAAGGGGGACGGTGGGCACAGACAGCCAGAGCAGTGTGGGGGTGTGCTGAAGGAGCAGTCTGCGTCCAGGGAGAATGTCAAGGAGCAAACAGCTACAGGACCTGCTACTCATTAAAGAACTGGAGGTCATCTTGGATTCCTGCCCTGTGGGGCTCACACCGGTGGATGAAGTCTGGCCCAACCTGTACATAGGAAATGTGTGAGTGTGCTTTTGTACAACATCTTTCTGAATTCTGCTGGAGAGAAATGCCTGCTGAAAAGGAGAATTTGTATTCCTTTTACATTTAAGTTATTTAGCATTTATAGACACTAGACATGGCTGTTCTATTCTTTAGTTTTACTCTTTTTTCCATCTTTTTCCATGTCTACAGGGCTGTAGCACAGAATAAAAAGACATTGCATAAGCTTAGCATCACTCATGTCCTGAACGCAGCGCACTCCAAGCAGGGCAGCATTGGTGACCAGAGTTTTTATGGGAGCACCTGCGTTTACTTTGGCATCCCAGCGGAGGATTCAGAGGACTTTGACCTCAGTCAGTACTTTAAACCTGCAACTGACTTCATACACAAAGCCCTGATGAGCAAAGATGGTAAACCGAATGTGAATATTATACTGTTTTTTTTTTCTTTTCAAGAGCTGGCCCTCATGATATTTTCCATCCTTCTCTACAGGAAAAGTTCTGGTGCACTGCATCATGGGTGTGAGTAGATCGGCCACTTTGGTCATAGCGTACTTGATGCTGTGGCAGCGTCTTACTCTGAGAGATGCTCTGAAGCATGTTGTCCAAAAACGAGCCATTTACCCCAACCGGAACTTCCTGTCCCTCCTCCTCAAGCTGGATGAACAGCTGACACGAAAGAGGAGGCTGTGTCCTATTCTCTGACAGCCTTTGCTCCTCACTGCACCTTCATTTGATTAATGAACACCTCTCCATATGTAGAACTCCACTCTAATTGGCGATCAGTAGTTTGTAAATATGATGTGTAATTAGATTTTGTTTGATGTAGTTGCAGGTGTAAGTCTGGAGTGACCTTTATTTATTTATTTTTATTTTCGAGGTTGTCTGCTGCCTTTCTACAGTCCAGCAGCAGCAGCGCTCACACTGAGCCTTTATGTCATGTTTCTCCTGGTTTGTTTTTCATATTTAAATCATATTCAAATGTTCTCTGTGAGTGTTAGGAGTCCTGCTCACATGCTTTGTACGGACAGTTTTATGAAACCCATTAATGTTTTGTCAAATCTCACTTAAATTGTTTGGTCAGATGCACACTGCAATTTTAAACATGTTCAAAAATATGTATATCTGACTTCTAACAAGGTTTAACCTTGAACAGTTTTCCTGATAAGACACCTACTTTTTTAGTCAAGGATTCCTCGAATAAAATAATTATTTGTTTCATTTTGCTTTTTTTTTAATTGCCAAGAGCTTACTTAATATTGCCTAATCAATCTGACAGAAACAGGTATGTTTAATTGCTGAGCTGTATATCTTAACAGTGCTCTGTTTGATTGAGATCTGGTGACTGTGGAGGCCATTTGAATTCAGTGAACTCATTTAAATGTTCAAGAAAGCAGTTTTTATTGATCTGAGCTTTGTGACACAGTCTTTCATCCTGCTGGAAGCAGCCATCTGAAGATGGTACAGTGTTGTCACAAAGGGATGGACATGGTCAGCAACAATACTCAGGTCAACTGTGGTGTTTAAATGATGCTCAGCTGGTACTAAAGGTACCAGCTGGTACCCAAAGTGTATCAACAAAATATCTCTAAAATCATTCCAGCACCATCAGCTTGAATGTCGCAGCAGAAATCGAGATTCATCAGAACAGCTGATGTTTTTCCAGTGTGCTGTTGCACAATTTTGGTGAGTCTGTGCAAACTGTTCTTTTCTGACAGGAGCCACACCCACTGTGGTCTTCTGCTGCTGTAAGCCAAAGTTAAATGTGATATACGTTCGGAGGTCCTCTTCTGCATACATTTGTTGTAACAAGTTGACCTTGACAAGTGGTTACATGACTTTATACTGCCTTCGTACCAGCTTGAAGCAGTCTGGCTTCAAGATGACCTTTTTAGACAGAGTTGTGTGGGGAAATCACATTAGATAAATGGACTGGTTCATATATAGCGTTTTTCTACTTCACCTGAGCACAAAACTTCAAAAATTCAATAATGTGAAGTTATACAACTTTACACTCATTCATACAAGCGCTTTTCCCCCCAAGTAAGTGCTTTTTATCTAACATTCATGTACACTCTTTTGGATGCATCACAGAGCAACTTGGATTAGTATCTTACCCAAGGATATTTGACATAGGAGATCTAACCACTAACTTTCCATTTAGTAGATGACCTGCTCTACCTCCTGAGCTGCAGCCACTTGTAGATCAGCAGTTTCAGGAATAGTTAAGGTTGTTGGTGCCTGTCTGCTGCCAACAACAATGCCACATTCAAAGTCACTTAAACCACCTTTCGTCCCCTATCCGGTGGTTAGCTTCAACTTCAGCAGGTCACCTTCACCATGTGTACATGCCTGAATGCAATGACTAGCTGCCATGTAAATATAAGTCATTAGATATTTGCATTAACAAGCAATTAAACAGGTGTACTGAACAGACTGGCTCGTGAGTATGTATCGAAATGGAAGTAGCCATGGTGACATTACTTACTGGTTCCTGTTTTAAAACTTTGAGTCACGGTCACATTCTTGTACCTAATAAAGTGGCTGGTCTGTGTACATAAACAGTTTTAAAACGATGGCAAAGCAAAGGTTTATTTACTAAGTTTGGTCATTAGTTGAACTTAGACGCATGAAAGGCAACTCTGAAGTGGCAGTTTAAAGGGTAATTGATTTGTCAGGATGAGGTTGGTAGTGTCTGGACCAACTGGAGACCTATTACCACTGTGGGTTTTGTGTCTGCACGCAGAGGAAACCTTGAACAACAGGAAAGAGTTCAAGCAGGAAATGGTTAAACAAACAAGAAATAAATTCAGCTTGAAAAAAGCAGATAAAAGCACTTCTGCTACCACACAAGCTGACAGAACAAACTGGTGGAGACTGGTAGATATAGTGCTGGGCCTTGATTGGATGATGAAGTGTAAGTGTGCCATCAGGTGTTTGCTCAGGAGTAAGAAGAGACCCAAAAGATAAAAACATTATAATTCTGACAGGGACCAGAAAGAAAATATAGGATGAGAACTCCAAAATAAAAGTGAGGTTATGCCAACTGTTACTGTTGCACTATTGCACGCCTAAGGTCATGCAGTCTTCCTTTCTTTAATTGGTTATTTGATAGTAAACAGCCTAAATCAGTATGAGCAGATTAAAAGTAGATAAAGCTAATAAATCACTGGTGAATATCATCCACATCTCTTAAAGGGACAGAGCAGCAGGCTTTACTCTGCAGCAGGGTAGCAACACAGACACACGCAGAGCAGCCACGTGTTACATAACAGTCCACAGTCATCATGGAAACATGTGAGCTAATGTTAAAGTTCACAGGATAAGGCTCAGGGTTGCCCCATGAGAATGAAACATCAGGTCTGCATTCACCATGAATAAAATGGGTTTTGAGTGCCTGAACAGTGAACACAGTATGTTAGATAACTTTGTCACTTTTGAGTGTATGATTACAGAGTTATAAAAGGAAACAACCCCAGCTATGTGTGACTGTGATGAACAAATAAGAGCAGGCAGAGTAGGAGAGGAAACCGAAGCGCCTCGAAGTGAGGTAAGTTCATGAGATTGGGCTGGTTTGGGGGATCCTTCAGGTAAGAAACATTTAGAAAGAAAGCATGTGTGGCATCTTGAGAAAATCCCACTCTCAGGTCTGTGTGTTGTTAAAAGAAGCTGGGATGACTAATAAGTTTACATAACAAACATTAACATTTACAGAAGCTTTTCATAGTGAAGGGCTAATAAATGACATGTGTTTGTGCGATTTATGAGTGTCTGTGTGTTTGTACAGTATGTCTCTTAGGGATCCTCCATATGAACCTCCCTCTGTCTCAGAGCTGCAGGAGTTTCTGCTCGCTGACAGACGACCGACTGGACATGTCAATCAAGTTTGGCCTAACCTTTACATAGGCAATGAGTATGCGTGCACATATTAACATGCGCACACATCTATAAACATTCTGCACTCGTGCAGCACTGAGTGTGCTATTGTGTTTCAGGGTAGCAGCTCGTGACAAGGGCACTCTTCACAATCTGGGCATTACTCACATTGTAAATGCTGCTCATGGAACCCCCAACCCAGGCCACGGGCTCTATTTCTACGTCAACACTGGCCCGCGCTTCTACAGAGACATGTCAGTGGATTATTATGGTGTTGAAGCTGATGATGCAATGGACTTCATCCTCAGTCCATTCTTCTATCCAACAGCAAGATACATCAGAGCTGCACTAGCCATGGGAGGCAAGTGGGCAGGGTTACAGCATGTGGCTGGATTAGATCTCAGTGTCATACAGCCACACCATCTAATGAGATTAGATTTTATTCTTGACTAAAATAAGGAATCCTTATTTTAGTTTGGATTTAGATTTGGTTTCTGGCTCCAGCTTTAAAATGAGGATTTCATTTATTAAGCGGAACAAGCTCTTCAAGCGTACCTGGCCTTATGTGAAAAAGTGATTGCCCCCTGAACCTATTACAAAGCAGCCCCAGAACATCACACAACGACCACCACGTTTGACTGTTGGTATGACATTCTTATATGAAAAGCTGTGCTAGTTTTGCAGGAGATGTAACAGGTCTAAAACCTACCCACATTGCTCACTCCTGGGAAGGTTCAGACATATTCCAGTTTTCCTCCATTTGTGCATTTGCGCCCTCACTGTGATTTGCTGGAGTTTCAAAGGTTTGTAACACTTTTCAGACTTTGTTTCCCATCTGTTCTTGAGTTTCTTTAGATTTCGGCATGATGTGTTACTTTTTGAGGTCTTTTGGCCTACTTCACTTTGTCAGACAGGTTCTATTGAAATGAGTTCTTGATTCATCAGGCCTGGCAGTAATCAGGCGAGTGAAACTGAACTTAGCTTTCCAAAAAATGCTGTTAATCATGGTTAATTCATGATTTAACAAGAGGGGACAATTCCTTTTTCATACCAGGTAGTAATGAATGAAATCACAATTTAAAAACTGATGATGATTTGAAACATTTAAGTGTGACAAATGTGCAAAAAAAAAACAAAAAAACAGACCAGGAAGGAGGCAAATACTTTTTAACAGCATTATATATCTATAAATGGTATTGAGGGTAATGTTTATCATCTCAATCCCAGGACGGGTGTTTGTACACTGTTTGATGGGCGTGAGCCGATCTGCAACCTTGGTGCTGGCCTTTTTGATGATTGTTGAGGGCCTGAGGCTGCAGGAGGCAGTAGCCGCTGTCAGGCCGCATAGAGACATCTGCCCAAACCCAGGCTTCCTGCAGCAGCTCCGTAGCCTCGACATGAGCCTGGAGAGAGAGAGGAGGAGACGAAGACAGGCCCAAACACTGTAAAGATACAATCAGTCACACACAAACCCATAAGCATCCACATATGCAAACACATATGCACACACACACAACACACACACATCTTTATTGCTGCAGGAGTCACTTAGCCCGGCAGGAAGAAACGGCATCTCTGACAGAGCTGAGGAACATCCTTTGGACAAACAGGAAGCCGGTGGCACCCGTCAATCAAGTCTGGCCAAACCTCTACATTGGAGATGAGTGAGTGGAAAACTCTTTTTAGGCGACATGAAATGTATCAAAAACGATATTCTAGTAAATCAGTCTGTATGCCGTGTGTGTATGCAGGTCTGTGGCACGAGATAAAATCACACTTTCATCTCTGGGTATAACTCACATACTAAACGCTGCAGCAGGACGACACCGCATTAACACAGGCCTGCAGTTCTACAGAGACCTCAAAGTGGAATACCACGCTGTTGAAGCTGCAGACCACCCAGAGTTCAACCTCCAGCCTTTCTTCAGATCAGCCGCACAGTTCATTGACAGTGCGCTGAAGAAAAATGGTTAGAGGCTAAGCAAATAGACATGCATACATTAATGTTAAGCAATCTGCGAGTTACTTTCAGCTATTATTAAAAGGACTGATCAAAATGTCTTTCAGGGAAGGTGTTTGTTCACTGTGCCATGGGTGTCAGCCGCTCTGGAGCGCTGGTTTTGGCGTACCTGATGATTTGCCAGGGCCTGTTGTTAGTGGAGGCTATCACTGCTGTGCGTCTGAATCGAGACATTGGACCCAACTCTGGTTTTTTGGAGCAGCTGAGGCAGCTGGAACTGAGCCTCAATACACAGAGCAGACAGATCCCAGAGGAGGACTGTACCAACACATCCTGATAATGAACACACTCAGGAACGCTTCATTCCTCCCTTGATTGGCAACCTGTGTTATTTTAATTAGTTTCTATCAAAATAATTAAAACTTTAAAAAAGGTCTGCGTGTCACCTATTTTATTCCCTTGACTTTTTCAGGCCTCCAGAAATAACTCGGACGAATCGTGACTGATTCTTGCAGCTGTCCACACATTAGTGACATTCCTCTGATGATGCAAGATGCCACTCGTACTGAACAACTGAGTTTGTTTCTGTTTAAAACAGTGCCTGAACACTGCGTGCTGTCATGTTAGGGGTCTCATATACAGGATTACATTATGAAAGCATGCCATGTGGAGAGATCAGGTGTTGTAGTCTAACTACCTAAAAATATCATGTTAAACACTGAGCCTGAGAGAGCAGTTACCATTCCAGGTCTGTATTTCAGTCTTCATTGCTTCCTCCTGAGGGAGGTTCCTGTTGGTACACACACATGTACAGCCACCGGACACAAACTCGCTCTCTCTCTCTCACACACACACACACACACACACACATTGACATCCACTGAGGAAAGTAGAGGTCTGCGATCCACATTTAACAGAGGTGAGTCGTTTCTTTATACTAAATTGCTCGTTTTTATTTAATATCTGTTTTTTTGCCCCCCGACTTGATGTCACACACCTCGTGGATCTTTGGTGGTTTCAGTTCAGTGTGACTTCAGTGTGAACAGTGTTTCAAAGAATGTGCATGAAGGGCTTGGTATGAAGTGTGACTAGATGAAGAACAAGGCTGCCAATGCAGGGGTCCTTTGAAAAATTGGTATAATTAATGTGAATCTATTAGCGGAGAGCGAGATTTAAAAAAGTCATTTAAATTCCTATTTGGCTCCCGATATCTCGTGTACTATTCTGCTATTGTTTATTATTAATATTGCAAACTGTATGATCAGTTAAGCAGCACCAGCAGCGATGATGCAAACAGAAAATGTCACGTCTGTCGCTTGAATTTGTACGTGACATCCAAGAAACAGCATGTGTTGCGCACACAATAATACACAACAATATTACACAGAATACTGAATGACAACATACGGTTTGTGTGATCGTGGACAATCATAGTTAAACCCCTTTTCACGTTTCTTACTTACATACATATTTTTTAATGTGTTTCCATAGTAACACTGATTTCAAAGTTGCATGCAGTATTTAATAATAATTTAATCTTAACTGGCATACAAAAAGAGAATATTGCTTTCATTTATGAATTTGTGAAATCCCTAAATTAATAAAACCATTTAAATATTCTTTACAACATTATTTTTTCTAAAAGTCTGGTCTTCCTACATTCTCTATAGCCATTGTTTCTGTGGGTGATGTACTAGGTTTACAGTTATTTTCACTATTGATCGTTCATTTTTTGATTCATTGCTTTTTGTTTCAACAAAAGTGAGAGAAAATAGAAAGGAAAAACTACAGCTTGGAAAAAGGTAAAACCAGATGTTTACATTGGAAAAGCTGGAGCCGGTAAATTTTTGGCATGTTGCTTATAAATGACTGATAAGTATTTAGGAAAAAATGCTCATGGACTCCATAAACATCCTTGGCATATAGGTGGTAATGTTAGATCCCTGTAGAGCTTTGGGACAGATGGCAGTGTGCAGGAGGTGATTAATTTCAGGCATATGTGTGTGTGTG